CTGACACATGTTGCAGGTGCCTAAAAATGGCCGTGGTTCCGGTACAGTACCACTGACCGGCCTCGATGGTTCGGGTACTCTTTGTCCCGAAAACCTCTTTGGAGCTACTGCTACGGGTGCCTGTCGTGCTGACTGTTTTGCCCCGTTTTTGTTTGCTCCCGAGTTCCACTGCCCTTTTTGCATTTGGAATGCATCGACTTCCTCAGCTTCCTTCCTCTTGGTCACCTTCTTCTTTCTAGAGTTGGACTTTTTCTTAGCTGTCTTTTTGTCCTTGTCTGACCCCGAATCCGACAGAGAGTCCTCAAGCAGCGCATCTAGCTTGCTTGCCTTTGCTCCACCTCTTGGTGCCGCCGATGGAAATCTCATTTTTTCCTTAGTGGGTGGTGGCATATAACGCTTATCCAGATCACGAATCTTCTCGTATCTCCTCGCGCATTTTTCCAAATCACCCAAGTCTTGCACCTCCTGGTTTGCAATGAACCGCCTATATTCGGGTGTCAGTCCTCTGAACACTATTTTTAACATTTTATCTCCCGATAGGGGCCTCTTAAAGTGATCTGCGATCATTTTTAGATTGGTGATATATGACGAGAGTTTTTCGCCTTTGGCTTGGGTTCTGGCTTTGAGCTCGTCCCAAATGTCATCCTCGTCCAATACCCTAGCAAACTCTCTCATGAAAACTTTTTTAAAGGTTTTCCATGAGCCAATCTCATCCCTCACCACCCTAAACCACCTCGTGGCCGACTGCCGCAGAACTCCTGGGACTGCCCTGAGAATTTGGCCATCACTCAGGCCATTGCAATACTTGCAATCCTCCAATCGTTGGATAAATTCTTCTGGGTCTTCTTTCTCGCCTCCCGAGAATTTAATCTCCCAGTCTTTAAGTAGTCTGACCGTCCCCTGATCCACCCTGGATTGCTGGTTCCGGTCCTGCCTATCTTCGACACTCTCCGAATCGTTTTCCGATTCCGAAGACGACAATGTTTGCCATGACTGCCTGTCGCTCAACCTAGATTTGGCATAATTGTCCTTTTTGCCCTCAGAGTGATAGCTCTTGACGCTATCCTCACCACAGGACTCATGTCCTGTGGGCCTCTTCCTCTTTGGTGTGGGCTCACCCTTAGCCCGTCGTCCCCACTCCTTAGATTCTGGGGCCTCTAATACACGTTTCATGTCCTGTACTATTTTCGACACTTCGTCTATTGTCACCTCTGCACTCTTTTGACTAGTTGTAGACTGATTTACTCCCTGTTTAGAGATGGCACCTAATCTTTGTTGAGGTAACTCGTTGGTAAGTGGACCCCTTCGTGTGTCCGCTTCTGGATTGCCACCCCGTTGATCGGCGCCAGCCTGAGTACCCGTCTTCCACCAACCTAACGCTGTTTTTTGGCTGTGGGTGAAAAAGGTCTGTGCTTCAGGCCCCCTTTGTAGCCACTGAGCGATATGATTCATATTCCAAGTTTCAGGAAAACTGGCCAAGTTAGCGCCCGCATTGACATCACCCGTCATTGACACTTCTTTTCCGCCAACACTGGACCTGGGTATCTGTGTCCTCTGTGATCCAATCGAATCATTTTCGTCAGTGCTATTGAGTTCCTCAGTCACCGCTATATCAGCGCCACTACTTTGTCCCCCTATTGCCCCCAGTGATTCCTCTCGCTCACTGGCCACTGAATCCGATCTACTACTCCTTTTTCTTAAAGGGCCAGGAAGTCCTTCCAAAATGAATACGTTGGATGAATCTGCCGCATCGTATTTATCTGCCCACGGCACATACAATGTTTCTCCTAAAACAATTCTTGTTCGGAGCCTCAAAAGTCGTTCATACAGCACTTGGACTGATCCTTTGATGCTGCATCCTTGACTGTTTAATTCGAAAACGACATCTTCAATTGTCATTAGTTTGACCTGTTCCCAAATTTGTCGGGCCTTCGGATCTTTCAGAACCGCCTCCATTTGTCGTTTAAAAACGTCGGACTCCCTACTCATGTTGAAATAATTCATAAATTTCAAATTCCCAAAAAAAAGTTTCGAATTCAATTGGCTTATTTTTCAAAATTTTTCCACACAAAATGGTGCCACAAAATTAAGAAAGGACAATAGTAACTGCCAATACACACACAAAAAAAAAATTTATTGACACGTTAGTTTAAAAGAAATTTTTGCTAACTAGTTTATAGCTAGCGCCCTCTTTAAAATGGACAGAAATACGCCGATAATAAAATAGTACCGTACAACACACAATAAAAATTAAATAAAAAATTTTTAATCTTATATTAATTTATCTACAACCTGCATTAATATGCAGCCACCAAAGAAAACGAATTTAAAATACACACCACGCGAGCCTCTACGAAAAAAAAAAATTTTTAACATTCAAAAAAAAATAAATAATGAACAAACACAATTAAAAAAAATTTGCTAACCTTGCGAATGAGCAAGCCACAGTTTAAAAATTGATAAAATGTTCAATAATTTAAAATTCTTTTACTTGTCCACGACAAGTCGTAAAAAAATTAAAATTTTTCTTCGCACGAATTTTTCACCACTCACACAAAATTTTGGAAATGGCGTCTAAAATCTTATTTCCCGCGGAAAAGATTTCTCACGATACTATAAACGCGAATGACGTCACTTCCACACACGCCGAGAAAAAAAATTATTTAATCTACTAATTAAAAATTTTCGATCAATTAAGAATTTTCCGAGAGAGAAAAAAAAAATTCCTATAAAATTAATCTCGACAAACACAACACTAATCAATACTAATTTTCTTGATTAATTTAACTAATTTCAGGTTTTACCAGAACCGAAAAGGCCACAAACACTTGCGCGCGATTTTTCGTTCCGATGACGTAATTCCTGATACCGCCAATTTCGCTCAATGTGACGTCACGTCCGAGCACATGGCGAATAAATTAGTTTTACACACTAAGTTCAATTTCCCCATGTATATTCCCAATATACACGGCCACACAAAATACACAAAAATTCAATCAATAAAATAAAAAAAATCACAAATCAATATATACCTCCAAATAAATAGTTTTAATTACACATATAAAAAATTTTCCTCTGCCTCAATGTCTTGGCGTCGCCCAACGTTGGGCGCCAAAATTGTAACGGGGTTTTATAATTTATAATTAACATAAATTGGGCATCTAAACCCGCCAATTCAAAATACACATTATACGAACAATCTCACAAGGGGATCCTCCAAAACATATGAACATCTGATGCCGGACGTTGAGGCAGGCCAACACTAACTACACTTACCTCGAGGACGCTCAGCTGACTCTAACCGACGCCGCTTCTCGAGTTGCAGGAAGAATTCGCAAAGGAGAAAACACTTAATAATACAAAACACTCCCAAATTTAATATAAAGAAACTATTTATTTAACACTAAAACTACAGCAAAGATATAATAAAAGATATATAAAAATACGATTGAGAATTAGAGCACGTCCGCTCTCTAACGATCGGTTAATTGAACTGGTGGTAGATCCCCCTTCCGGTCCTAGGATCACCACTATGCCTCTATCTCTCTCGCTCCTATGGACAGCCCCAAACCTACGAAGTGACCATTCGGCCCTAATCGCCGCCCCCCGTGAACGTTCACACGTCACGCCTGCGTAAATCAGTCCTACGATAGATTTCGCGAAAGCAACTTAATTTGACTGCCACAAGAATAACGAGACGAAATACCGACTAACGAATGCTTCGTTACACCTCTGACTATCGAAAACTATCTTCACTTTCTAGAACGTCTAATTCTAGGCATATCGATTCTCCAGTTGTTTGTGAAGAAGTTTTCATTGGGGATTGGGGACTTTTTAAAAAAACCGATAGTTCAAAATGTTTAGTAGGAATGGTTTTAGGTTTCGGTTATATGGAGGGAAAGACATGGAAAAGTCTTGAATATTCAAATAATTTCGCAAAAGTTTCAGAAAATAAAAAACCTATTGGGTTATTGTGTCAATGGTATAATGTTGATAAAAATGGTAAATTATTACCAATTGAAGTTACCGTTCATAGACACATTTGCATTGATTCTTACAAAATAACGTTACCTCACCCAGACAAAGCTCAATCTATCATAAGCTTCAAGGAAAACGTATTTCATAAATTTAAGAAAGAAATAACAGTATTTGTTGAAAATAAAACAAAAAAAGGCCAAAAAGTCGTAAATCCTCGAAGAAGTGATAAAATATTTATTGGGAATAAGTGTCAAAACTATTGTCAAAATCGATAAATATTTATTGTGTACCTGATTGTTATAAGTTTTCTTTAAGAAAAAAAAGTCACGTTTAGTTGTAAATATTTTATATTAACAAATACCAAAGTTATTGAGAGTATTATTAGTTGTAAGAAAACATTTGTACGAAAAGTGAGCGAATCACAAAGTGATAAATCATGTCAGAATCGCGCGATCCCGGCTGTGCCATTTGCAAATTGAGGCTTTTCAATTTTTTTCTTTTCTAGGTGTAAGACGTTATTGTAAAAAAATTTCATTTTCAAATGTGAATTTTTTTATAGCAACAAAAAACAAAAAATCGTTTGTAATATATTATTTTCAATAAGATAAATTGTCATGAATTTTGACATTATCTTTCAATAAAATTTTGCTCAATCAAAAAGTTGTACAATATTTCAATCATGTGTTTTGGGGAAAATTTTGAGGAATATTTTACAGAAATTTACTAGAATAATTTTATAAATAAATAAAGAAATAATTAATAATAATAATAATAATAATAATAAAGTAATCATTCTAGTATAATCTAACAAGATAATTGTGATTAGTGTCAAACCTTTATACGTTTGAAATTCGGTAAGAAACATTAAAAATTCCGTTTGGATTCAGTTGGAGTCATTGGGATTTAGTGGGAGTCTTTGGGATTCACGCACATTTTGTTGAAGTCCGTCAAACTCTGTCACTGAACTTAGAGATGCAATATCGATATCGGAATATCGGAAATATCGATATTTTTGTCTCGATATGCCTCCTGCAGTTACTGCTGCCGAATTGGAAATACTAAAAGAACTGATAACAGTACTTCGTCCTTTGGAAGGCGCTACGAAAGATTTGTGTAGCCAAAAATATGTCACAGCAAGTATGGTGATACCACTAATAAATGGATTGCAGAGAGACTTTGAGAATCTGGTTCTTGAACACGAAGTAGCTTTAGTTTTAAAAGACAATCTTTTAAAAGAAATTTCTCGCAGATTTGGACTCATGGAATCCTGCCACTTTTTTGCAATAGCGACAATTTTGGATCCGAGGTTCAAAAAAGTGGTGTTCAAGCAACCGACAGATTGTGCACGTGCACTCGGCCAGATCAACAGATTATTTCAGGAAAAGAATAACAATTCTGCAGAACAAGAACCGGATACTGACGGAGATACGAATAATGAGCCAGAGGGTATGTAAATTGATATGTATGCTTATTTAGTATTTCCAAATATTGTTATATAATTAATATTTAAAATCCGTTTAAACAATTTTTTTTAAATAACTATAATTAACTTTTTTACAGAAAGTAAAGAAAAATCTTCACTTCGGAAATTTCATTCGGATTGCGTGCAAAATGCCAAGCGAGCAAGAAGGGACATTCCAGATAATGTATATCCTGATGAACTAATGCTTTATCTTCGGTCTGAAATTGCCAACTACGAAACTGAACCTATACAATTTTGGGTGGAAATGAAACATATTTACCCTACACTGTCTCAGATTGCGTTAAAATATCTGACAGTAGTTGCCACATCCGTACCTTCAGAAAGGTTATTTTCGAAAACTGGCATTTTGATGAACGATAAAAGAAACCGACTTGAAGGAAGTAAACTTCACAAGCAACTTTTTTTGGGAGCAGTCGACGAAGCTCTTTGGTAAATTTAAGACCCGGCATCCTGTGTGAAGACTATGTGTTCTAACTTTTAAGTAATTTCTCACCTTCATTTACTAACATTTCATTTTTATAATAAATTGAAAATCTTATATCAAGTACCTTAACAAAATGCAATTTGTTTTCTGTTCTAGGATGATTAAAGCGGTTAATGACACTAATAAAATTCGTCAATCTCGAAAAAAGGTTGCTTCGTATCTAGTGCAGTCACCTGTTATTGACAGTACATATTTCGAGTAAGTATTAAAAGAACTAGACATTAAAACATAAAAATTTTGTCATAATCTGATAATAAAACAATTTTTTCAGTTGAAGTGAAATAACCAGGAAGGAAGATCGACAAGCAGATTGTGATGAGTTATAAATATAAATTTCACAATTTTTCTATTTCTCGTTTAAATTTTAATTTCTCGTCTATTTCTCGTTCTTTTTTAAGTTTAAAAGTACTTAAAATGTTGCATAATAATAAATTTAATTCAACTGAATCTTTGTAAATTATTTTAATTTGATGGATGTTACTGTTGTGTTTAATTATATTAAATTGAAGATTTTTTATTTTTTTGAAAATTTTTTTTTATTTTATTTATTTTTTATTATTTTATTGAAAATAATAAACTAAATTTTGTGGTGACGGGAAATTGGCCTAAAAAATCTTCAATTTGTAAATTATGTTTATTTACGTAAAAAATTTCAAAATTATATCGATTAATCGAAATATCGATATTGTTGACCCGATATATTGTCATATCGATATTCACTACAAGCAATATCGATTTTAATCGATATCGATATTTTCGTTTCGATATTGCATCACTAGTCCCAACTCTCCATATTTGTCATAATTCACGTCAACTACCGCACCCTGCTCTAATAAGAATTTAGTGACCTTCCTATTATAAAAGGTCATACCCATAACGCGTAACATTTTTTCGTGATAATAGTTAAATTTCAATTAGTCAAATATAATATTATAATATATTAACATGAACTAACATATGAAATATCATTATAATAATATAATATAATACAATAATATGCCTAGCAACGGTTACTAAGAACATTTTTTGCTTAGCAACGGTTGCTACGAACAGTTTTTCAACTAGAAACGGTTACTAAAGATATTTTTTTTGTTTCGGAACGGTTGCTATGAACATTTTTGTAACTGGAAACAGTTTCTAAGAACATTTTTTTGAGTGGCAACGGTTGCTAAAGACATTTATTGGCTAGCAACTGTCGCTATGAACATTTTTTTCACCTAGCAACGGTGGCTAATGATTTTTTTCCTATTAAAAATCCTAAGAAAGTGTTATCCTTTTCGCTTTTTAGTAAAACTAATAAAATTAATTAATCGAATATAGTATCAACATAAAATGTTATATAAAACATCATTAAACTATTGTTTTATTAATAAAAAATAATTTAATGATGAAAAAACAATAATCAGCGTGCTAAAGCGCGAAGGTCTAGTATTATTATAATTAAAAGTTATTATAATATTACTAAATTTTTACTAGAGCAGGGTGTCTTTCACATCTTCTTTGCAGTAAAAAAAGAATTATTGAGCAAGCCGTTTGGACAATCAACCAAGCCGTCTGCTCAATTGTCCAAACGACATCTGGACAATTTGACTACTTGCTCAATTACCCAATGCATTAGGCCCAATCAACCTACACGTATTTAGAGGCAAAGAAAGGGAAAAATTGACTTAACTTTATATAAATCTTTAAAAAAAATTAATAAAATTAAGTGTTACTTTTCAGATGAATTAGCTTCGGCCGAGTAAAAATGCATGCATTTTACATTCTATATTTGCAAAGTATACAATTAACCATCCTTGCTCTAAGCCGTTTCCGAATTGAAACTTTTGTCGCACTTTTGAAAAAGTGTATACTTTATCAAACGTGCGACAAAAATCCCAATTCGGAAACGGCCCTATGCATGTAAACAAATGTGAAAGACAAGGATGGTTTAAGTATATACTTTACAAGTATACTTAATTCGGAAACGTACTAAAGATTTGTGACAACCAATGAAGGGTACGTATAAAGGCCTTTCTCCAATAGGAACCTAAACTTTTGCGTTGCGTGACTGACGCGTTGATTTTAACATTGGTTGCCAATAGCAACCGATGCAATGCATACGCAACGCAAGAGTTTAGGATCCTATTGGAGAAAGGCCTTAATACGTGGGTTTCTACGTGTATAATAGTACGCATATTACGTGTTAAGTTTTCTACTTGATTTATAATACATTTAATCATGTGATTTAAGAGCACCAATTTTAAATTCTTCATTAAATACATCATTCATGATTTTACAATGTTAAAATAGTAAGTTGTTATTATAAACAAAATTAGGTAATTATTTATCATTTTAACAATTATAAAACAAAATTTTTAATTATTCGAATGTATTTATATCGATTTTATTTCTAAATTGGTTTTTTAGAACGAACATCGCACCACGTGCATAACAACACAACCTACATTCTAAGTATTGACAGTCTAGTCGTTGGTATCTTCCAAAATAAACAATTTGTAAATAAATAATATAAACATGTTCTGAAATTATAATTATGATTAAATAATTAATAATAAGAATAAATTAATTAATTGATGTGTTATAGATAGAATAATATAGATGTCTAAATGTCTCAATATTTTACATGGTTTTATACATTTTATACGTAAAATACGTCGAAAACGTATTATACGTACAAAACCTCGTGCGACGCATTACAGCCCATAACTGGTGATAACAATCCATTCCGGTTGGTTTCCATTGTCTCCACTCGACATTTGTCATTATTTTTGTCAACTACCGCACCCTGCTCTAGTGAAAATTTAGTGACATTATTGTTCAAATTAAAAATTTTTAAATTTTCACTAGAACAGGGTGCGGTAGTTGACGAGAATTATGGCAAATGGCGGTTAGGAATTTTGGCGAGTGGGAACAATGGAAACCATAAACTTCCGCTGATTCCCGCTGGAGCCCATTTTCACCAGGGCTTGGAAAAGTAATCTTAAAGTATGTTCACACTTCGCCAACCAGCCAGATGACCTCAAGTTGTCATGGTAACGCAATTTAAACTATTAAGGCGATGGTAACGCAGTAAAGTAAAAGTTACTAAACTCTAAGTTTAAGTTCAACAAACAATTCTTTTTGTACCCTGGCGAGCACTCACAAGGTGCAGGTTGACATAGTAACATGTAAAGACGCTCTCACACCTTTTTGGCTGTCTGCAAGTTACTATGGCAGCCAATAAGGTGTGAGTGACAGAAATAGTTAATTATTTTTCTGTCACTCTTGTAGGTTACCATGAAAACCTGCATGCAAGAGTCTTACTTGACGAGCTGTAAACGCATCCTTAAAAAAGTTCCGCCCGAAATTGTAAATCCACCTTTACATATTAACACTTTTCAACATTGATCTTAAAACCACTTTGATTATTTATAAAAAGTTAAAACAATAAAAGTTTACAGGAGGTTCTACAATAGATGCAAGACCAAGTCCAAATGTAAATTTATTGTACTTGGTTGCGCGCGCAACGTATTGCAAACTGTAGCTGAGGCGCACTTGAAAATACTGGTTTGCGTCAGTTTTATTTTCTTGGTGCCGGCTCTTTATTTTAACGACAACGTGTAACAACCTGGAGTGGGATTACAAATAGCGACAGCGCTACGAAGATTTCGCTACGTAGCGATTCAAAGCTACATTCACTTTAAAAAATTTTCTAGCTATCGGGTGACTAAAAAAATAGTATCATTTTGATAAATTTAGGTTGGTACAATTGTTTTTCTGTGTATTTTTTTTCTCATATTTGCTTTATTTTATAATTTAACAATTTTTTTTGGAATCAAGAATGTATTAAATTCATAAGGATTTCCCACGATGAAGAAATGAAGCAATTTAAAGAAGTATCTAAAAGACTGACAAATTTTTCAAGTGTAACACTTCAAATCTCAAAAGTTATAAAAAGGCAATTCGAGGCAATGATAATTATTAATATTATTATATTAACACTTTTATTTCCAATTTCTATCCTTACAAAAAATCAAGAAAATAATTCAACTTTATCCAATAATAATAAACTATTTACTTTTCTTTTTTATATTAATAATTAAATATTTATTGAATTTATATTTATTATCTTTTACATAGGATTAAAAGTTTCTATTAGACATTGTCTAAAATGGAAAAAAAATTTAATTAAAAAAATTTTGAAGATATAACCTCAGAAATAGAATTTTTGTTCTCACGCAAAGGTTCACTAAAAAAATGTATAGGGCATTTTTTGTGAGTTAAAGAGTTTTTCAAAAAATGAAAATTTAAACTAATTTAATTAAAAAATTAAAAAATAATTAATTTAATTTAAAAAATTTATCAATTTTTAAATTTAGGCCGGTAAAGAATATCCTAATTTTAAATCTCATGCAATTATTATTTTTAATTCTTGCAGTAAGATTAATTTTCTTAATTTTTATTTATTAAATTAACTTAAAAAAATTTATTTCCTTTATAAATTATTTTAACATTAAACTAGATAATTTATTTTTCAAGTTGTTATTTATTAAATTAAAAGGTTATTTGCAATATTAAAGTATAATTTATTTCGTCACTAGTTGATTATTTTATTTGAAAGTAACAGTTGGCAAACATGAAGTTAGAGAATTGATTCCACCTTCATGTTGTATTTGTTTGATACCTAGATAAAATATTTTAGGAAATTGACATGAATTCTATGTCAATGTCCTTATTTAGAGGGGTTATGTTTATAGTTTCTTCTAAATTACCATCTTGCAGTTTAAGCTTTGAAGAAATTGTCAACGGTCTTTTATTTTGGCCATGATTTGGAACAAATTTCACTAAAAATATGTAAGTTTTTAATTCTAAATAACAAAAAGCGCTACATAGCGACTAGCGCTATTAGTAATCCCAGTGCTGGGATTCGATTTTTAATTATAAATTAAATATATTTTCTGGATGCATATAATTAAATGAGGTAGGTCAGTAATCTGAAAAAAATAAATAATATTATTTTGAAAATGAAAAAATTGTGGGTTATGTGTACATAACCTATGCACTTTTACAAAATTGTGTGTAATTTTTTTAGGATTACTTACCTCACTTAATTATATGCAACCAACAATTATATTTAATTTATAATTAAAAATCGAACCCCACGTTGTTACACGTTGTTAAGATAAAGAGCCGGCACCAAGAAAACGGAAACTGACACAAACCAGTATTTTCAATTGCACCTCAGCAACAGTTGGCAATACGTTGCGCGCGCTTCGAAGTACAATAAATTTGC